AATTGCACAGTTGAAAGCCAATGCCAGAGTGGTCAAATCGCAGTGTATATAATGCATATGTATGTGTATGCTTATGCACCAGCTGGGGAAAATAACAAAAAAAAAAAACTCCACTTCATTCAGCTATAAAGGCCACTAAATTACAACATGATCAGAAACTTAACGTGCTTAACTATATCAGCAATCTTTTGTAGAGCTTGATGATGAGACTTCGCATCAGCTTATAGAATCGAATGAGCAAAAATGACATATCAGAAAAGCATAAAAGCATGAAGATCATTAAAAAATATCATTTGGTGGGAAAAATATCACACAAACAAGAGAGAATAAAATGTAGCATAAATGAAAGGAAGTCCAACTTATTTGCTATCACGCTGGTCAATCCCCAGTGCCAACCTAACCTTGTTCAAAGCAGCAGAAAAATATAGAAGACCCTAAACCTCAATATTAAAAATTTATTTGGTCTATTCTACTTAAAACAAACCAACTTCTACAAATGCCCTATGAATACAAATGTAAAGCAACAAATAACTGATCCACCATGAGGAGAAGACCTTCACAGGTAAGGCATAAAGATCAGATCAGATAACACTAATGGACAATCACAAATTGAATTTTTTTTTTTTTTTTTTAAGTAAGAACACTAATGTATATAGGGTGCACTCAAAGGTAGAATTGCGGAACTAAATGAGTGAACTCAAAGGTAGAACTGTGGACAATTTAAGAACAACCAGAAAAAAAGAAGATATAGGGTGCAATTTTAGCAAAATTAAAAATAGCAAAGAAAATAAAGTAAAACTTCATGGCCAGAAGGTATCTAAAAAAGATAATTTTTAATATCTTGAATCTATTATTTATAAAGAATGGTACATTAAGGAGGATGGATGAAATGGAAGAGTGCTTCAAAGGGTCGCGAGATCATAAGCTACCTATAACATTGAAGGGTTAAGTTTAATTTGACTGTTATGATGTCTGCTAGACTGCTATAATGCATGTTATAGAACATTGGGCTGTTAAGAAACAATATATTAAAAAAAAAGGGTGTGATTGAAGCAAGAATGTTAAGATGGGTGATTCCTGTTATAAAGAAAGCCAGAATAAGAGGTGAATTCATTCAGAATGGCCATCTACGATGAAGAACAAAGTGCTTGTAAGGAGGAGTAATTTGGTTCACAATGAAGATGCTAAAAAAAATATAAGAAGGCTAAGGAGGATGCTAAAAGAAATATAAGAAGGCTAAGACCATCAGTCAGGCACGTATAGATCAACACAACAATTCAAACCATAAGCCCAAAACACCGTTATTCTTGCCGCAGCTACCAGGTTTAAGGCATATGACACCAGCTCCTACACTCAGCAGGCCTCTGCACTGCCTTCACAGACAGATCAGCCCAGCTACACTGGTGCCAGAGTAAAGGCTTCAGACCATACTGCTACAAGCCAATCTGCTACTCACCACTCTGCTACAATCCAACAGCAGGCTAACTCTGAGATGCCTGTGATATCAGCTTGCCTATATCCTGACAAGTCTTGTTCTCCGCTTCCATCCAACACTAGCACCAAACTACTTCCCATAGGAACCATAGAACCAAAAACATCAGCCATAACAGAGTAATTTGAACCACAAACAAAGTAATTTGACAGCAGATTCAACCACCCATCACTAGCATCAAACTTCTACCCATAGGAACCAAAAACAAAGTAATTTGACAGCAGATTCAACCACCCATCACTAGCATCAAACTTCTACCCATAGGAACCAAAAACAAAGTAATTTGACAGCAGATTCAACCACCCATCACTAGCATCAAACTTCTACCCATAGGAACCAAAAACAAAGTAATTTGACAGCAGATTCAACCACTATACAGCAAAGTCCAACTTCAGTCCAGCAAATCTGCCTAGCCTATTAGTTTTAAACCCAGCAAAATAAGTTACCAACAAAACAATCAGAGTAAACAAACAGGCAAGCTGATATTGTAATAAAGTATAGATTAATTCAAGCTAATGTTCCATTCGGTAAATCTTTATTAGCAATTCTAATCAAAACAGGAGGCTTACGTTTGTGATGATCTTGTATTTATTCAGTTTTCATTAATCTAATTTTAAAAGTTTATTCCATAACTTTGTGTATATAACTCTGCAGTGCTCATTCTAATATATTGCAGTCAAAAGAGGCAACTTCAAGTAGTCTTCCTCTGATGATATATATGTACCTACCCCTCCTGCATTCCTAGGAATCAAAATTTGTATCTGCTTTGTTTGACTATTGTTCATTATTTAAATATTTTGATTTATTTAATCTTTGTCAGATTAATTAGCAGCCAATGGCCAAAAGCACACATTTGCATATTAATTAATAATAAAGCCAAAGAGCCCAAACCCATTTGCCACCTTACTAATGTCAGCCCATTGTATCTGTATATATGAACAGATGAACTGGAATAAAATAAAATAAAAGTCAGACTGGCTCTTAATGGCCCTGAAAGGTTAATCTTTCCTAAACTATAGAGTTCTCCATAGCCCCTTTGTGTTTCTCCACCACCCCCACCCTCACCCTCACCCTCACCCTCACCCTCTTTCACTAAACTGTTTCTTGAAACAAAGACATGAATCTTTTAAGGACCAGTACTCCCGCTTCAAATGCAACTATGCTCTTATCCCATGGTTAGTCTTCTTCTCTTATGGGTGCTGCTGTTGATTTCTCCAAAATTTATGTAACAAATAAATCTGGGTTAAAATTCTAAGACCGGTCCCCCAACTTCTCATGGGCCCGGAGGGATGGATCAGGATGTTGACTTATCTACAAAAGTAGTACAATGGTTACAAGTAAGAGCTCTCTCTCTCTCTCTCTCTCTCGGTAAATTTTTGGCTTGTTTGTTATGTGTTTATTAGTATATATATATTATTAGGGAGTGATCAAAAAATCGAGAATCCAGTACAAAAATTCAAATTCTAGTCCACATCCACAACCCAGAAAATATAAAAACAGAAAACAATGAAAATGACTCTAATTAGTCACATAGTCAAAGAAATTGCTCATACAAATTCTAGTCCACAACAACTTTTTGTCTCTTTCAAACCAACACGCAAACACATGGTGGGTGTGAAAAAACCACTTACAAAATGCACACCAAAAAACAATTACTCAAGATCACCTATAATTACTGTGACGTCTCTGAAATCTTCAAAATATTCACAAAAGTCAAAGCTTAATGCCTAGCACAAAACATTGGTTCAACAAATGATCAAACTACCAAACTCAAACCAGATTTCACAAGAATCAAAATCTATAAGGTGAGACAGTGTCGAATGAAAATCTATAAGGTGAGACAGTGCCGAATGTGTTGTGTTCTGCAATGCCGAATGAAATTGATGATAAAGAAGAATGAGAGGAAGATGAGACAGTGTGAGAGAGTGAGAGGGAGAAGGAGAAGGAGAGGGAAAGAGAGACGAAGAAGAGGGAGAGAAGACATACCTTTTGTCTTCTGTTGTGCCGCTTCAGGTTGTGGAATGAGAAGACGAAGAAGATTCATCTTAGGTCACTCTTGTTTATTCGGTCATTAAAAACAAAACAAAAAAAAAAAATTAAAACGACGTCGTTTTGACAAGAAATTTATTGGCGACGAAAATTATTATGTTGCCATAAATATCATTCACCTTTCAGCGACTATTTTATTGCCGTCGCCAAAACGTCCTTTTTGTCGCCAAATGTTAATTTCGTCGCCAAAACTTTTTTAGCGCTCCCGCCCAAAAAATTAATTTCGCGCCAACCATTTTTGGCGACGGATTTAGATATTTGTTGCTAATGGTGTAGTTTTTGGCAACGAACACGTATATTGTCGCCAAAAACATACAATTGGCAACTAAATTCAATTTGGTTGCTAAAAAACGTCGCCAAAAATGCTTTTTGTTGTAGTGAATCTTGAACTAGTGCTCTGTTGAATCTTGATAGACTTGTTGCAATGAATCTTAATCCTATGCGTATTGAAGACCACAAAGTTGTTGCAATTTGTTATTGTTCATGTTTGAGGGGATGAATTTGTTGGATCTTTTATACTCGGCAAATGAACTTCAGATTCTTGAACTTTATGAACATTTGCTTAAGAGAATAAAAATGTCATTGTAAAAAAAAAAAATAGAGCTGTACATCGTTGTTTGTTAATCCAGTGGATAATTGAAGAAATAAATAATTGATGCTGAAATTATGTCTGAACATTGTTGTTTTACGTCGGCTCGATAAGAATCGTCCTGAATAAACAAAACCTTAATTGTTGCATTTTCATGAACTTGCTCGGAGGCATAAAATTGTTGTAGCATAATTGATAATGCTTGAATCATGATCTAAAATTGATATTGCTCGTCTTGTTTTTCGGTTTTGCTATTTAAGGTGAAGGAATTCTTTTAAGAACTCCACGACCCCGGGGTCCTCAAAACTCGCACTAATGAAAACAAGGGTTGTCTCTCGGAAGTTCAAACGGAAGCAAGGTTGTCCCTCAGGAGTCCAAATAGTAGCACACACCCTACTTCGGCAAGAAAGATCCTCGAAGCTTGTACTGATGGAAGTGAAGTCTGTTCTTCGAACTTGCACTAATGAAAGCAATGGTTGTCTCTCAAAAGTCTGAACGGAAGCAAGGTTATCCCTCAGGAGTCCGAATAGTAGCATACACCCTACTTCGGCAAGAAAGATCTATTTTGAAAAGCAACCGAGTCTCGAGGGTTGTTCTTCGAAAGTTCAAGTAGGAGCACACATTCTACTTCAATAAGAAAGATCCTCGAAGCTCGCACTGATGGAAGCAAGGTCTGTTCTTCAAAAGTTTGAGTGGAAGCACACACTCTACTTCAATAAGGAAGATCCTCAAAGCTCGTACTAATGGGAACAAGGGTTGTCCCTCGGAAGTTCATATGGAAGCAAGGGCTGACCCTCAGAAGTCTGGGTGGAAGCACACTCCTTTCTTTGGCAAGAAAGATCCCTTCTGGCTGGCAACCGAGTCTACTACTCCTTCTTCTTCTTCAAGGGGAGACAAAAGAATTGAAAACTGTCTCAACCAACATAACACAATGAAGATACACAATATAGAAAAAATAAACTTCTAATGGAGATACACAATATAAAGGAAATAAATTTCTTCATAACATAAGAAAGAAAGATAAAAATTCTTGGACAATGCAGTAAATACAAATTGTAAATGTCATAGATAGACTTCTACGGAATGTTGACCCTTGCTTCTAGTCCCCAGAGTTGTGAGGTTATTCGGAAAACTTTCACCACCTGCTCGGGTTGTGGCCGTCATACGTCATCATAGCCACGTCTTCTAAGATTTTCTGAGGCCCATGTTCTTTGAACTCTAGCTCATCTGCTTCGACTTTCTTTCTAAAGATCTTCTTAAGCGTTCGGCACTTTTCTGTAGGATGTCCTAATGATCGGTGGAAAACACAATAATCAGGGCCATCGAGGTCCTTCTTCAGCAAAAGCTCTTCGATATAAGGCGACTTCAGTTCCCCGTCTGCCACCCATTCTTTAACTAAGGCCTTCATCTCCTCAACACTACATGGAAAATGAGTGTCATCTTCACAGTTTTTCCTCTTCTGACCTCTGAATTCTCCCTTGCGACTTTCGGGTAGAAGACGCAGAAGCCGCAGTGAGAGAAGGTCCTTGGGATGTCTTGAAGTTGGTTTTATAACTAGTCTCGAACCCGATCTCCTGAGACTGAGGTATGTTGATATTTCGAGATACCTCAATTAGTGCCGAGAAAGTGAGTAACTTATGATTAACGAGAAGCATTTTGTATCTGTTCAATGCCCCTTCAACATAGATTTGGACCAAGTAGCTTTCCTCCACAGCCTCATAACTGTCCACGACTTTGTCTTGGAACTTCTTCACATATTCAAGAATGTCTTCACCCTTTCGTTGATTTTCCTTACATAGGGTAAGTGTGGTCACCTTTTTAGCCACCTAAAAGAATTTGGCATGGAATTTGTTGACCATCTCTTGCCAACTTCGGATAGAGTTTGGGGCCAAGTTAATGTACTAATTATATGCTCAGTCAATGAGGGACTTGAAGAATTCTCTTAGTTAAAGGACATGATTTGAACTATGAATTCCTAAAGTCTCGATGAATCGAACAACATATTCTTGAGCATTTCCTTGTTTGCCATCGAACTTGATGAACTTCGGTACCGTGTATCCCTCTGGGTATGTATAACTCAACATTTCAACAGGGTATGGTGGCTTGATATCCGGATCGGGCAAAGAGGGTAAAGTTCTCTTGCTCCGTTCGAGATCAAACATGGCTTGCACATCGGCGCGAGTGAGAAATTGTTGAGGAAGAGAACTTAATGGTGGTATTCCCAAAACTTGGCTTGTAGACCTGGAGACCGAGCTTGGAGCGACTTGGCTATTCTGGTGTTGAGAATTCACCATTGGCGAAGACACGTCATGATACTAGCCATCGACACCTATGGACAAGCCATTTGGTGATGGGACATTGAATTAGGTTCTATAAAGTCCATTGCACGTCATAGCTATACTGGGTTGGGTTTGCAAATTTGTTGTCCGTGCCAAAGGAGGCTTGCTTAGTATGTGAGTAGCATTTGCTGGTGGTGGAACGAGATTAGGTACGGGCAGAGCTCCCTTTTGCACCATCATGCCCGTTATATTTGTCTGGACACCAACAGTCCCCAGTGCGCCATTCTTTATGCCAGAACCTCCCCTAGTAACCATTGGATCTTGGCTTGGCGCATTATGGAGCCCGGGCGTGCGCAAACTACTGCCGCCTATTGTGGAGCATGTGTTACTGCTGTTGTGTTGCCATGAGCCATAGGCTGACTGTGGCCTACTTCTTCTTGGGTTTGATTTTGCACGTTGGCGGGGACAACTCCACCTCTAGTTTGATTTCCATTCGGCACCAGTGCAAAACTAGAACTTATCACCAACATGGTGTGAGTGAGATTCTGAAGAGTGGTAAGAATCTTTTACTGAGTATTTTGAAGTCTTTGAATGGCTTCGAGCAAAAGTTGTTGATCTGGAGCCATGGTTCTATCATAACTACCATTAGAGGATCCTTGTTGTTGAACTCCATCTTCTTTCGCCATCCTTACCGGAGTTATGTGGATTCTGGATCTTGTTGAGACCATTAACCAATCTGCCTTCCTAGCAGAGTCACCAAATGTATGAAAGGGTTCAAGAATGTTGTTGGAAAGTTCGAAGATCTTGAAGAAAACTCGAATTTTTTAGAAATGATGAGAGGCTTAGATTCTTTAACAACCACAATTAGGAACACAATATCAAAGAGATGATGGAGATAAGGGATTGAGTGAAGAAGAAAACAAAGTAGTTAGAGAGAGAATAATGGCAAGGCTCTCCCATGGATCTCCTACTTTCACTCTCAAAGTAGATAATGGAGAAGGGAAATTAGTTCTCTCCCAAAAAATATCTTTCCAAAATCCATTCCTTGTAAAGCTATGTGTAGGTGCTATTTATAGGCATCTCATGATGTAGGATGGAACCCATGTGCAAGGCACATGGGGAATATTCCCTTTAACTACCTTGTCCGAAGAGATGACCTCTCCGAGGATGAGGAGAATCCAAAGAGGAGATCAATCTCTCGGCGAACCCTTCTTGTTAGCCACACCTAACCAATGATCCCTAATCATCCCAAGGGGTCAGGGGTAGTCCTAGAGGACGCCCTGCCGTAGAAGGGTTAGGAGTAGTTCAAGAGAACTGCTGCAAATATTGTCGAGTGTCAGGGGACCCCTATATCGTGCAAACTCAACCCAAGTATAAGCTAGTTTAACTGAAGAGTGGATTTATCTCCACTCACCGTCCTCGAGATCGAGTCCTTGGTTTGGACTCCGTTATGCCCATGGTTCTTGTGCGTAGATCTCGGAAAGCTTTGAGCTTCCAAGTGTTCTGGAACTCATTAATGGAGCGGCTTCTAGATTGCGTTCGAATCCGTTCAAAGTCAAGTGCTTTGGATTGCTAGGTTCGTGGATCCAAACCTTTTTGAGTCCAAGCTCAAATAGGTCTCTAGGTTTGTGGTTGGAAACCCTTTCAAGACTAAGCTAATACCTCAGAGAATGGATCTCCTCTGAGGGTTTCATCTTTTCTGAAAGCAACGGTTAACCTCCTCGGACACCCGTATGATCTAGGCCTCCTCGGATGGGCTTGTTGGACGCTCTTTAAGATATTTGCTTGATGGGTCTTCCTCGACCCAATTTGCTGGCTTTTTTATGGGCTCGTTTAATAGAATTCACTTGGGCCCATTTGGCAATAATCTCTCTAAGCTCACCAATTTTTTGGGCTTTCGATTGGAATTCGATTAGGCCCAATTAATTTAATGGGTTCAAGTTAACCCCTCTTATAGACTAGAAGATTTCAAACCATTGAAATGTATTGGAGTTACAAGGTAATCTATTTGAATGAAAATAGAGTTTTCAGGATATCCAATAGATTTACCTTTAACTCCCTTTGCTCCTGGTATATTTAGAAGATGAGTCACTAATATGCAATTTGTTACTCTTTGACAACTTTCATTGGGTGGTTACTGGTTTCCATACTTACATACAATCCTATTAGGGATTTTTAATTGTACTACTCTTTCGTAAAACATGGATGCAGCCAACACGATGCTAAAGAAGTATTTCTTTTTCTTTTTTTCTTCTTTGTTATTATTATTTTTGAGTGATTTGGTGCCGAAACAACTGTCAAGGTGCTCATATAGTCTCAGTTAGACTTACAACTTTAGCAGTATAAGAAAACTGAGTCATGGTGTTTGACAAGAATTCTTTTTAATGTTTTGGGAACAGTGGAAAGACCTTTATGCTTCTACACAATCCAGATCAACAGACTTGGGATTGCGGATGAATGTTTGAGTTGGGATTGGTCTCTTAAATTCTTGAATTTCTTTTATGTAACAGTATTCCTATTTCTATGTTAATATATTTTCTCAATATTTTTTTGTTTGTTCTTGTTATGTCAGTTACATATTGTTGGAATTTGGACCGGGTATTGGACCCGGATTTGAGCGCCCATGTGGCATGACCCATGACCCATTCAAATTACCCATGTAATTTGAATTTGAATTTTCACGACTATTCTATTTGGATAACTCACTATCACTATCTATATCTATCCTATCTTATCAAGAAATATGGATAGATGGTTAGATGATCAGCCTATATATCAGATACGATATATGGAATGTGGGATGAACTAAATAACGAATGAATTTTTCCCATACTCTCTCTTTAACTCTCTCCCATTAGAATAATGATCGAGCCTTTGTACTGTGACTAGAGTGGGTGATACTTATACTGTGGTATCACTCCATTGCTGGGTGTTCTTAGTTCGTGGTTGTGAAGCACGTGATTTACCTACAAGGTTCTTCGTTTTGGATTCTATTACATAAGGTATGGTTTGAATCCTTTTAGTCGCTGCGTTATCTGAATCTTAAATTGGTATCAGAGCTACTTATAGGGTATTTTCGTGCTTATTTTTATGCATTAAAATATGTATATAATTATTGATATATGTATACATGATATATGCATGAAAATTAATATTTTTTCAAAATTTTTCCGATCAACCTAAAATTCACATATGTTATAGTACATTTCATGTAGAACATATTTGTAAAGTTTCATGAAAATCCAACGGTTAGATTTTAAGAAAAATGAAGACCCATTTTGCATTCTCGAAACATTATTTGCATGATGGTTTTACATGCTTTAATTTCAGTTTACAAATCTTACATATTTAGAATCCTTGTTTCGAAACCTTCAAAACCATATATTATTTGTTAGATTGGACTTACAGTTGATGAGAAACATCAAACCCGAAATTGGGTTTGTTTTGAGTTTTTGGTGGCTTAAGGAAGAAGATGAAGTGTAGAGTTTCTGCATTTCTACTCTTATTAGAGAGAGAGTGTGTGTAATACACCTCATCATTTGTGTTTTTAAATGTCATTTTTGAGACCACGATTATTTTTATTTTAGAAAATAGAGTCTGACAGTACCAAAATTGGACCAGAAATTACCCCGGAAGGTGACGCGTGAGCTGCACGGGCCAGATGACGCCGTCAATGCCGACCAGGCGTCATCAGTAGCCTGCACGTGCTAGGTGCGCTTCCCACGAGTGTCCCGTCTGCACTCTTCATGTGCAGGCCACGTGCGCTACCATGCGCGCGCCATGCATTGCGTCGTTTTTCGCGCCGGCTTGGCTGTTGAATGCTAAGGCTCTGTTTTTTTTTTTTAATCCAGAATTACTTTAAATGGTCATAAGTAATTTGTTATAGCTTTGTTTTAGGCGTGGTTGGTACTGTTGGACTTAGAATTAAAATTTTCATCTATTGTAAAATTTTCAAAATTTTATGAAAATAAAAAATAGTTTTTTTGAGATAATAAGTCATCATTTCTGCTTTAAAATGCTTCTAATGTTGCATGACTAAGTTTCTGGGGCTGAAATTTTATTGTAGACTACTGTAATGGTTTACTATTTACTGGTATGATTGTTGCATTTTCCCAGATTCTGGAATATTTATTTCTGATTCTATGTGTGTTTATTAATTATTTAAAATTCCAAAAAATACCATAAAATTTCAAAAAAAATTCAAAAGTAATGTACTTTCTTTTATGGCATAATCTGAATATTAAATACAGCATATTGTTGTTTTTGCCTAGAGTTTGTAATATATTGTGATTAAAGAAGCATGATTAGTTCTTTTTTATTTATTTAAATTCCATTATTAAATGAAATATAACATGAGTTGATTATAAATTTACATTAAGATGCTATTGTATGGAATTAAACTAGTTATCATGCTTTGTACATGCCATAAGTAGTGGGAGGCTGTTTTTTGTGCATGGAATTAAATTAAGTTTTGATAATTGTCATTAGAGACGCAATAGATGATTACGAACATAACAAATTTTCGATCTTGAGATGTGTGTAATATTATCATTATTTAATTTATATTTTTTTGCTGTAAAATAATTTTGTGTTGGTATCATTAATATCCCCTGCGCATTTGTTTTTCCTTTACTCTCTATGTAGAAATGGCAGCTAAGACAGTGGTGGCAAACTTAACTAAGGGAGAGAAATTAGATAGCGATAACTATGATATATAGCGCCGTAAGATCCAATACCTCCTCAATGAGCAATAAGTTTTGAACACACTTGAACAAGTGATGGTTAAGCCTGAGCAGGGCAATACAGCTTAACATCATCGTGATCTTGAAGTCTATCAGACTTGGAGTAACAAAGATTGGTATGCGCACTTTACCATGTTGAGCAATATGCACAATGACTTGATTAGTGAGTTTGAGCATTGCTCGATTGTATTTGAGATGTGGGAAGCTCTCAAGCAAATGTTTGGTGTCACCTCTTTGGCAAAGCTACGTGGGCTAACTATGAAGTTTGACTCTTATTAGGAAAATGCGCATCACTCTATGAACTAGCATTTGAGGGTCATGTCAGCCATGATACGTGAGCTTGTGGTAGCTGGGCACAATTTGACTCAAGAGCAACAAGTACAAGCTGTGATTCGCTCTCTGTCAAATTCTTGGGAGCAGATAAAGCAGAACATGATGCATAATGAGAGTGTGAAAACATTTGATGACATATCACGTCATTTGGAGCTAGAGGTTGAGCGCCTAGAGGTGGCTAAGTTTGATGGTTCTGCTATGGTGGTTAAGTCAAGCTCACGTAGGACTTCTCAGTTCAAGCGTGAAAAAGCAAAAGGTGCTCCTAAGAAGCCAGCAACAACTTCGCTAAAGCCCAATGGCGTTAGAAATTTGAAACGTAGGGGCAAGAGAGGTGACAAGAAGGTAAAAGCTAAACTGACATGCTTTAACTGTAACAAAGAAGGACACTTCGCTTGGGATTGCCCTGAGCGGAAAAAGGCACTCCCTTACTTAATTTCTCACAATCAATGCTTTGTTTCTAGTCAAGCATTAATTGCTCATTCTTCTCATTTTTGGGTTGTAGACTCAGGAGCAACAGGCCACATCGCGAGGAACAGAGTAGGGTTCGTTGAGTATCGCCAAGTACCTGCTGGGAGCAGAAAAGTTTATATGGGGAACGAGTTCAGTGTGGAGGTGCTTGGCATTGGCATATACAAGCTGGGAATGCGACGAGGGTGCACCTTGTATCTTCATGATGTTTTTAAGCTCCAGATATTTGGCAAAACTTAGTTTCAGTTATTAGCATGATGAGCCTTGGTTTTAGTTTTTGTTTTGAGAATAATGGTGTAAGCATTTATTTAGGAACAATTTTTTATGGTTTTGGTTATATTTTAGATGGTTTCTTAGTTTTAGATATGGATGATTCTAGTTTTAATAAAAATGCCAATGGCTTTGTTTCTTATATTGCATCTATTTGTGATAATGATTCTATGAGATAGCATGCTAGATTAGGCCACGTAGGGCAAGACAGGATGACTAGATTGGCTAGAGAAGACCTTTTAGGCCCACTCGCTAGAGTCATTTTGCCTACTTGTGAAAACTATCTTGCTAGAAAGGCAACAAGGAAACCGTTTGAGAAAGCCAAAAGGGTATCTATCCCATTACAACTTATTTATTCTGATATATGTGGACCAATGAATGTGAGGACAAGGCATGGAGCCCCTTGTTATATCGTATTTATAGATGATTGCACGCATTTTGGCCATGTCTATTTGATTTCTCACAAGTTAGAAGCATTGGATTACTTTAGATGGTATGTTAATGAGGATGAGAATCAATCAGACAAGGGCATTAAGGCTCTAAGGACTGACCGGGGACGCAAGTATCTATCTGAGCAATTTAAAGTGCTCTATGAGGAAAAAGAAATTATCAGGCAATTGATAATTCCTGGGACTCCATAGCAAAATGGTGTAGCGGAGAAAAGGAATCGCACATTTCTTGACATGGTTAGATCTATGATGGCGCAAGCTAATCTTCCCATTCGTATTGAGGAGATGCTTTGTTGACTGCTACCTACATCCTTAACCGTGTGCCCTCCCAATAAGTTCCTTCCACGCCATATGAGATGTGGACTGGCGAAAAGCCTAATATAGGCAATTTGCGGCCTTAGGGTTCGGTAGCTTACATACACAACGTTTCTCATAAGTTTGGGAAGTTAGGCCCTAGAGGAAAGAAGTGTATCTTCATTCTCTATAGTAAGCATTCTAAGGGCTATGTGTTTATTTGGGAGCATCCAGATGGAAGTGTGATTGAAATTGAGTCACGTGACTTGGATTTCTTAGAGGAGGATTTCTCTAGCGAAGGTGAGGTAACTAGAGACGTAGAGCTCTATGAGATGGAGGATCTACTTGAAGGCGCGCCTAGTAGCCTAATAGAGAATGAGGAAATAATCCCTTAAGCTCCTAGGGACAATGAGAGCAATTTACCTGCCCATGGATTAAATCCAATGGATGAGGATTCTTAGGACTCTCAACTACGTAGAAGCAAATGTGGAGCTATACCCCGTCGTCGTTTTGAGATTGAAGGGGATGCATTCATGATTACTTCGAGTGATGAGATGGAGCCTAAGAATCTCAAAGAGGCTCTCTCATCCCTTGCTAGTAAAGAATGGAGTGCTGTAATAGATGAAGAAATAGTGTCTATGAAGAAAAATCATGTCTGGGACTTGGTTGATTTGTCGCCAGGACGCAAGACTATTGGGAACAAATGGGTTCCTAAAATCAAGCGCAAGGCGGATGGTTCCATAGAAAGGTATAAGGCTCGCCTAGTAGCAAAAGGCTGCACCCAATTAGAGGGTGTGGACTATAAGGAAACCTTTTCACCAGTTGTGAGGTTTGCCTCATTTCGGCTAATTCTTGCCATAATAGCTCAGTTGGACTTAGAGCTATATCAGATGGATGTTAATACCGCATTTCTCAATGGAGATTTGGATGAAGAGATCTATATAGACCAACTAGAAGGCTTTGTGGCAGTAGGTTAGGAGCACAAAGTTTGCAAGCTTCAACGATGTATTTATGGCTTAAAGCAATCATCCATACAGGGAATTTAAGATTTCATTGAGCCATTGTTTCAAATGGGTTTACAATGATTGATGAAGATCACTGTGTATACATTCAGCGGTCTAAGGACATTTTTTTGATATTGTCATTATAGGTGGATGACATATTATTGGCTGGAAATTATAAGGAGATGATTGTCACCACTATAAAGTGATTGTTCTCTATATTTGAGATGAAAGACATGGGTGAAGCAAGCTACGTGCTCGGTGTTAAGATCCTTAGGGATCGCTCTAGGAGACTTCTTGGTTTTTCTCAAGAGACTTACATTATGACTATCCTAGAGTGATTCCAGATGCAGAGCTGCAAACCCATAGACACTTTGTTGCGAGAGGTGAGAGCCTAAGCCTTGATATGGGTCCTAAGACTCCAGAAGAGAATGAAAAAATGGATCGTGTATCCTACGCGAATGCTATTGGAAGCTTGATGTATGCATGATGTGTACACGCTCTAATATTTGTTATGCAGTCGGATTAGTGAGTCATTACCAATCTAACCCAGGACTAGCTCATTGGAAAACAGTTAAGAGGATATTATGATATCTTAGAGGGACTGCAGATACACACTTTGCTACCAAAGTTCAGATCTACGTCTAGTTGGCTATTATGATACTAACTGTGGAGGAGACTTAGATGAGCGTAAGTCCACTTTAGGATATGTTTTCCTGCTTAGTGATGGTGCTATTTCTTAGAGCAGTAAAAAGCAATCCTATATCACCTTATCGACTATGGAGGCTGAGTTTGTGGCTTGTTCATCTGCCGTTCAGAAAGCCGTTTGGTTGAGGAAATTCCTTCAGCAATTGGATATTGTCACACATACTTCAGACCCTGTGACTATCCATTGTGACAGCATGGCTGCACTCGCTTACGCTAAGGATCCTAAGTACCACGGGAGAACCAAACACATTGATGTGAGGTTTAACTTTATCAGAGACATTGTGGTGCAAAAGGAAGTGATCCTGGAGCACATCTCTACGAGTCGTACGATTGCGGACCCCTTGACTAAGCCCATTGCCAGAGATGTTTGTCTTACTCATGTTAGGGCTTTAGGATGACGTAGGTAGTGATATATGTGTATTTAGTTGAACTCTTATTTTTTTTATGCCATAAGTATTCACATTTGTTTTGATTACACATTTATGTTTACTATTTTTTGCCATGGTTTGTGAATTAGCACACACAGAATAAATAAATTTAATGTTAGCAGGAAAGATTGGCTCATTCATACGAGCAATCGCCCTTAGCGCTAGATAGCGAGCAAGGTTGAGACTAGTGGCTTATTGTATTTGGAGCCAAGAGAGAGGCTAAAATTATCCACTGGCTATGTCGCCTTGGTTGGAGCCAAGATGAGGTCCTGTTAAAGACTGACCATGAATATGAGAGTACCCACTTTTCCATGATGTGCCTGTTATGGATAACTAGATGCGAGATCTCGTTTGATGTCTGAGAGGCAAGCAAATAAAGAATTCGAGTTAGACGCTAGGAAACGACTTGTGCGCTTAAGAGCGACTAGACTAAGATCTGTATTGTGTGTGAGTTTAATATCACTCTTTGGAAGAGTTACTCCACTATAGCATGCATTCGTATTGCATGTGCTTATCGACCAGTTAGCGAGGTGAGAGAATGTATCCCTGCTTTCTCACCGTGTGAGTCCTAAAAGTCATTTTTTTCCAATGACTTCACTTTGTGCTTTTTATGACCTTTAACTATGTCATAAGATGAGGAGTTGATGTTCGACTACTTTGGTATGTTGCTTGCGGTCATGTATGATTCGGCTTTAAGGGACATTACTGGAAAAGCGGTCAATTTCGAGTTAAATGATATAACGGTGGAGGGAAGATCATCTAGTTCTAATCTCTGCTCTATATTCACTGTCAACAACTCACATCTCTCTGTATGGGATACTTATTGAGTGTGAATATAATGCGAGACCTAGGAGGGCCAAACATGTTCTTTGAGGGATTAGAGATGTTTTGGATCGATGTAACTAGATGGGTCTGGGTACATGAGACACGATTTCTATTCTTCTTGGATTGATGTCCCTATGCTGGCTCATTTTGAGTTTCTAGTATAGAGTTTCCACATGCAGGTGTTCTCAGCGGTCGCACGGTTCATTGGCTAGTATGAGATTGTTCAATATTTGGGGAGATTGAGATAGAGATGTGGCAATATCATGTCAACTGAGTGAGAGATGTTGGAAATTGAGCCGGGTATTGGACCTAGATTTGGGCACCCATGTGGCATGACCTATGACCCATTCAACTTACCCATGTAATTTGAATTTGAATTTTCATGACTATTCTATTTGGATAACCCACTATCACTATCTATATCTATCATATCGTATCAAGAGATATGGATAGATGGTTAGCCTATATATCAGATACGATATATGAGATGTAGGATGGATTAAATAACGAATTAATTTTTCCTATACTCTCTCTCTCATTAGAATAATAATCGAGCCCTTGCACTGTGACTAGAGTGGGTGATACTCATAATGTGGCATCACTCCATTGTTGAGTGTTGTTAGTTCGTAGTAGTGAAGCACGTGATTTATCCACAAGGTTCTTCATTTCTGATTCTATCACATAAGTTATGGTTTGAATCCTTTTAGCCGCTGGATTATTTAAATCTTACATATAATTACAAAAAAAAAAAATTGACATTCATTTATAAAAAATAAAATAAAATATGACATTCATGGAATTTTTATTTATTTTTATTTTCTTATCATATGATGAGAAATGTTTTCTTGTTCGTATTACCAAGTTGGACAGCTACTTACTTGACTGTCGATTAGTTCCTTTGATTTGTAGAATGATTATCTATCATTGATATGGTAGGATAAAGACGAAGAATTAAAACTCAATTGTAGACGAGTAGCTACCACAAGCTTGTTTGGGTTTGGATTTGTTGGGCCAGTTGGCCACTTCTAGTTAGTGTTTCTTCTTCATTTTTAATTTTTATAATTGATTACCCCGTGAACTTTAAGTTTGGGAAGCTTTTCGTTGTGGGTTAGTATGGGCTTCCCTAGAGTCATTAGTTAAAGCGTTTTAAAATCTTAGATTTTCTAGATAAGTAATTCCCTTTTGAAATACTTATCCTTTCTTTTCCTTTAATCTCATCCTCTCATTATGCACCTTGTACAAGGTTTCTAAGAACTCTTCATCTCCCAACCTCCCAATCATGCAAAGATCTTTGGAGAACCGCATCCCAAACCACCACTTCTCTATCACACCTAACACACTCTTCCAATGTAGCCTTATGCATCGCTATACCAAACACCAAAGGGAAAGCCCTATTGAAAGGCATATCATCACATTAAACATCGAACCACAACTAAACCCTATTCCCATTTCTCACTACAAAATGAATGTTTTTCACAAATTCATCCTAACCCTTTCTTATTCCTTTCTAGACCACCACAAATTCATCCCAACCCTTTTTGTACTTTTATTAGACTAGCTATATTGCCTCACACACACACACTCTCTATCTCAATTGCTTTGATTTGGTGTTTGTTATTTGTCAGATAAGGGATATAACTACAAATCTTGAGTGAGATAGGGCTTACCAATACGAGATACATGTGTTGGCCAGAGTCCTGTTTAATGGCACTGAGGTTTCTCATTTCCCAAATTACTACTTTTAAGCTATTGTTTGTTAACTTTGTCTTTCACTCATGAATTTTTTATGGTTTTTTACTTTTTTAAAAATTTTTTTTTTTTTGGAAATCTTTTGTTCTTTTGGTTTGGCTGCTGATTTTGTTATTCAAGAACTCCTAAATTTGAGCAATGCAGGCTGATAGTTTCATATTGTTAATACAAAAATGCTATGAACCCACCCTTACCAACCCATAATTTATCCCGAATGTGTTTGTGTGGTGAAGATTAAATTGATGAAGTATGGGGTCCATGAGTAAAATGAATTTAGCCATTGATTACTTTTTTTGGGTAAATTATGGTTCATAAGTCTGGGTTTGTAGTATTGTTGTTAATAATATCCTTTATGATTATTTGAATAATTAACTACATTCAACATTGCTTTTTTTTCTTTTTTTGGATAAATAAACAAATTTATTAGAAAAACATCAAGATGATGCAAAGAATACAAGGAAAATAGCAACCCATAACGGTCGCAAAGCTCACTGTCTAAGCAAATCCTCTACAAAATGTACAAAAGTTAACACATCAGGATCAACCGAACCCATCATCCAACTATGCAACACCATAAGAAACCTACTTTCTAACCAAAGATACGAATGAAATGTGTTCTAAAAAACACGTCGGTTGTGCTCCAACCAAACCAACCACAACAAGCAATGGGAAGCAAGTAACCAAGCCTTCCACCATCTCTTACCCACTCTTGCCCCACCCCAACTAAGCAACACATCCAACACTGTACTCGGCTACACCCAAACCAAACCAAAAAGAACAACTACCATACACCAAAGTCGAGACACCACCAGACTCTACACAAGTAAACAATCCACCGTTTCTGCATCTCCACAGCACAAACAACATCAATTGACCAACACATGTCGCCACCGAATCAAATGATCAATAGTAAGAATATGACCCAAAGTAGCAGTCTAGATGAAAAAAGCTACCATGTAAGGAGATCCCACTGCCCAAATACACTTCCAAGGAAACACACCACCAGCACCCCCTGCAAGCACCCCATAAAATGAAGACACAGAGAAAACTCATTTAGAACTCCAAACATCCCATACCAAAGAATCCACCCCATCCCTCCCATTCTGTAACCCATACAAAAAGCCCAGAAGATTCAGTAATTGGTCTATTTTCCAATCCTGTACATCACTCCGAAGACGAACATTCCAAACAACTAATTGCCCTTGTTTCACCCTAAGTGAAGTAACCAACTTTTCTCCATCAGCGGCAATAGCATAAATCAAAGGAAACATGGCTGCCAAAGATAACCCACCACACCATCGATCTTGCCAAAAATGAACCCTGTCGCCTACCCCCACTTTAAACTAAACCCTCTCCCAAAAAACCTCTTTTTCCAACCAAATCTCCTTCCATAACCCACGACCATGAGGTTGAGCCACTGGCTTCGAGCACCACCCCCTCTCATCGTCGTACTTTGCCACCACCAGCCTCCTTTATAGCAGCTCTCGTTTCCCCACGAAACGCCACAACCACTTTCCCAATAGAGCTCGATTAAACACCACCAATTTTCGCACATCTAAACCCCCTTTTCCTTCAAAGTACATACACTCTCCCAATCCACCAAATGATAATGAAAACCCTCCCTACCCTCACTTCATGAAAAATCCTATTGCAATCTCTCTAAGATCTTTGCCACCCCCACAGGCATCACATGTCTAAAGTATGTTAGAATACTGGAGAGAACGCTCTTGATCAAAGTAATCCGCCCCCTTTCGATAAATATTGTCGCTTCCATCCTGTCAACCTCTGCTGAACTCTGTCCACCACCCCATCCCACACTCGCGTCTCCTTAAAGGAAGCCCCCAAAGAAAGTCCCAAATAAGAAACTAGCAACCTTGCCACCTTACAACCTAACACGGCTGCCAATATAGGCAATCGAACCACCTCACCCACTGGGATCAATTCTGATTTTGCCAAATTAACCCACAAACCCAGATACTGCCTCAAAACATAACAAAACACACCTCAAATTGCCAACCTGAGTAGCATTCATATCACAAAAAATTAATGTATCATCATTGTAGAAAAGGTGAGAAACCACCAGAAAGGCAGACCCAACCCCTACTTCAAAGCCCGATAAAAAAAACCTCCTGACCGCCTTAGAAATCAACCGACTTAATGCCTCCATAACCAAAATAAACAATAAAGGGGACAAAGGGTCTCCCTGTTGTAATCCTCTCCGAGTAGGGAAGAAAACTGTCGGCTTCCCATTAACCAGAACAGACATTCAAATAGTAGAAATACATAATTGTATCCACCTCCTCCATCGTTTCCCAAAACCTAACCACTCCAACATGTACAACAAAAACATTTAGTTTACATTGTCATAAGCCTTATCAATATCTAACTTACAGACTATCCCCACTGTTCCCTGCCGAAGCCGTGAATCCACACACTCGTTAGCCACCAGAACATCATCCAAAATATATCGATATCTCACGAAAGCATTTTGAGATTCTGACACTACTCCCTCTAGCATGCCCCGAAGGCTACTAGACAAAACCTTGGCCAATAATTTGTAAGCACTACCTAGAAGACTGATAGGCTGAAAATCTCGTATATCCTTCACTCTTCTTTGTTAGGGAACAAAGCTAGAAATGTTACGTTCAGACTCCTCTCAAATTGCCCAGGATGAAACTGCTCAAACATAGCCAACACCTCCCCTTTCACCACCCCCAACAGTGCTGAAAAAAAAAAAAAAGTAACAGTGCTGAACTTCATTCAACATTGTTAACAACTCTAATGTTTAACATTCACCAAAAAAAAAAAAAAAAAACTCTAATGTTCAACAATTCATTCATTTTTATTTTTGGTGGAGAAATACTTTTACAGTGTTAGTTATTATTGGTTTTTGAGAAAATCTGCATCAAAAGTATGTGAGCAAATCTAGTATTTGCACATAGTCATATACTTGTGGGAACAACAACAAAAACACTAATCAAACAACAACAATATACACAACACACTTGATGACTGAAATTCTTAGAAGAGATGTCCCAATTATCACACTCATCTAGCACTAGTACATAATTTCACATTCCTTAATGAGCTATGCTTACCTGTAATGTCACTAGCCCATCTAAAACCACATGAACAGGCTTCCTGAATATCTTACTAATCCTTTCCTTCTAAACATGATACATAGCAGCAGCAAGGGCCAATGTGCATACATAAATTGTAATAGCCTTGTCTTCGCAATTTCTAACAACCCAAGCTAGCTCTTCATCAATATTCTGCATGCTTATTCTAGGAAAAATTATTCTCCAAATAATAGTCCAAATATATGCTGAAAAATCATAACAGAAAAATACATGATCATGAGTTAAGCTCATTGCACAAAACACATGTGTTTTCTGAAATGGTTCCCTACTTGAGTAGCCTATCCATTGTAGCTAATCTCCTCTAAACAATAGCCTATTGCACAAAGCTCCACTTAGGAACATTCTGAAAGAACCACACCACTTTGTGCTAAAGGGCAATAAGGAACACAGTTTGAATTGATTGCCAAGCTGTGGCCACAGTATATTCACCATTACTAGAGGGTAGCCAATCCACGGAGTTAGGCTTATTAGGATTTGGTAGGAAGCTGGTAGGGGTATTAGTTTCAATATCAGTAATAACCTCTCTTATACCTCTAGGCCACTTCCAATTACCCAAGCTAAAAATTATAACTTCTTGGGTACGTGTCGAATGGCTCACACCTAGAAAGGTTAATACGAGGGGCCAATACAAATCCTAATAACCTTCCTGCTTTTGTGCTGTGTTTTCCTTGTTTCATCCTTAACTTTTATATGTTTTTTCTCTTTATTTTTTCATTAGTTACAAAGGAATTTTCGACAAATACCTTTTCTTTTTGTACCTTGTATGTAGAACTTCACTTGCCTTGTATTCTTTGTTATGACCTTCCTGCTTTTAGTTTATGACATTGAAAACTTCTACTTGTGATGGATGAGTTGCCATCACTTCCTGCAGGTCATTTTGCCCATTTGAATATCACTGACGAATTGCTTCCTTACAACTAATTAATACTTTGTTGGAATAATGAGGAGTGTGAGAGAGAATTTCTTCTTTTTTTTCCTGTCTATTCAATTTTATTAAATTGTTTATGTAGTTAACTAGGTGAGATTATGGCTGAAATTTTTTTAATTCAGGAAGGTAGAAAGACAAAACTAGAAATAGAAAGAGTTGAACAAAAAGGAAGTCTTGTTCGATATGGATTTTTGACATCAGCTAGTTCAGGTAATAAATTTTTTTAGAACTTAACGAGTTTTACACTTGAATCACCATTTCTATGCTTATTAATTAATTTCACCGAAAAAATTAGACTACAAGCATAAGAAACACACATTCAAGTCAGAGAGAACCCATCTTGTTCCTCCCTGTTTCTTTGATATCTGCTAGTGTGAATGGACCTCTAAAGTCCAATAGCTTTGGTATATGCACTTTAAAAGTTGAAGTGTTCCTTTGTTTTTTTTTGTTTCGTTTCGTTTTTTTTTTTGAATTGTTGAATTTACATAATATACTTTTCATAATTGATTATATTAAATCTGGAACAAGTAAGGATTGACTATATATAATGAAATTTGGGAATTGAAAAATAAGTGGAAAGAAATATGGGTAATAAAGAAAGTTCATAATGGAATTTGTTGTATGATGATTATGTTTTTTGAGTATATATTAGTTAGAAAGAAGTGTGGGTAATAAAGAAAGTTCATGGTGATTTTTTGGTGTTTGATTATCTAAATGTTGATTGATGAAACTCACCTTAAAGATCTTATTAGACAGGGATATACATGTTTTTATTATAATAGTGATTTATGTATTAGTTTTTATCTCTTTATGCTTTTGATGGTATTTATTACTTTGTTGTAGATTTTCTTCAAAAGGATTATAATTTGCATCTGCTATTTATTTATGTGTAGGTGAAAAGGATAATTTTACTGAGGGAAAGATCTGATTGTAGATGTTAGAGGAATTATAGTTTTTTTCTTTTTTCTTTTTTCTTTTTGGTAATAGGCCCAAAATTGAAATCTTGTTAGAAATTTAGATAAAAAAAATTTGACGTGCAAATATTTTCATAAAAAAATTACTTGACATTATTTCTCTTTTTCTTTGGTACAGATGGATGAACTCGTGCACGAAGCTGAATTGTCCAAGACTAGTTGGCACTTGTTATATTTTTTGAAGGATCATACATTTTTGGATAGATGTGTATGGAAAATATTTGGGTAGACTAGTAGTTATATTTTTGGATGGATGTGTATGGAAAATATTTGAGTAGACTACTAGTTATATTTTTTGATAAATGCGCATGGATAAAAAATTAAAACATAATAAAAAGTACTTGTTATGTTTTAAATTTTTATGCTAGATGGATGTGACTTGAATGATTATATAGATTACAAGTGAATTTTTAATTGGAGAAATATGTAGTTTGAAATTACTTGTCAATGAAAACTTATAAAAGTTGATGATTTTAATTAAAGAGGTTCAGGATTGGATGATTTATGTATTTTATTGAATGCTCATGATTTAGTTGATTTTGTTAATTTGAATGATTATTGCAAATTACAGATTATATTGAATGAATTGGATGGATTATTATAAATTACAGGTTAATGTTATCAGATGTTAGCGACCAAATTTTGGTTTTGGTTTTGATTTTGGTTTTGTTTTTCCTCTTTTGGCGACCAAGTAATTAGTCGGGAAACATTAGTAAACAATTTGCCGACTAAATAAGGTAGCTGGTGTATCGCCACTCCCATTTGGCAACCAAAATGTTGGTAGGCGAGCGGGTACATTTGGCGACTAAATAATTTGTCGGTAAAATTATTAATTTTGGCAACCAAAGGGTTTGGTCGCTAATAAGTCTATTGCCGGCTAAAGTAATGGTTGCACAAACATTACTTTTGGTGACTAACATATTTGGTCATGGCATGTGACTTTTGGCAACTAACATGTTTCGTTGTGGAATGTAACAATTGGCGACTAACATGCTTCATTGTGGAATGTGACAATTGGCGACTATCATATTTAGTCAGGAAAATGTTACTTTTGGGGCCACTAAATTGTTTTAGTTACAAAATGGTTTAGTCGCGGTAAATATATATTTAGCGACCAAAAATTTAGTCGGCAAGTAGAACCTTTTTCCTGACAAAAAGAATTTTCAGTCGCTAAATACTTTTCCCAACCCTTCATTGGCGATCAAATGGTGGCCAAAAAATTCAGTCGTGGAAAACTTTTACCGACTAAAAATGTACTTTTGTCGACTAAATTTTTGGTCGGCAAAAGTACAATTTCCTATAGTGCATGTAACGTTTTGTGACCATTGATTTCTCACTTAAAAACCAAAATCGCCATGTTGTAAAGAGTTAATTATCACAATTAAACTAGAGGTGCTTAGTGAAATTCTAATAGAAATGTAATGGTGATATATGTAACGTAATAATTTTTGTATTGACAAGACAAGGAAAACCTACATTTAATAAATTTCATTATGCCAAGTCTTGTTGACATTTATATGTACACTTACACAGGGTCTTGAACTTAGCTTTTAAGTCCGACATGTGGTGGCTTTTGGTGACTTGGAAATAATAATCTGGATAGTCTGTTTGATAGAAGCAGTTTGGTGGATTTGCAATGCCAATACCTAGAATCATGGCTTGTCTAGTCTTTTAGGCCCGATTGTTTTGGGGTGTAGAGGGTGGGGTGGAATTAGGATAGAGATGGGACTCATTTAGTGTTGTATTTATTTGTAGAGTTGGAGAAAGGATTGAGATGGAGGAGGGGATTAAGATAGAGGTTGGAAGGGGGATTGGGATGGAGGAGGTTGAGGTGGTATTAGAAAAATAGTCCGTCAGACTAGAAATTTTTTATTTTTTTATAATTTTTTATATGTTGAATATTTTTTTGGAACATTAATGTTTAATTTTTTGTATTTTTTTATTTGTTTTATTATTTTATATAAAAATAATTTAATAATTCCTACGCTAACAACTATCATCAAAATAAACATAATTTTACTTAATCCCCTCACGAACAATCCCATCACTATGAATCCCTTTCATTTCACCTCTAAAAACAAACGGGGCTTAAGCTTCTTCCTTCTTCAATTCCATCAGTTTATAGCTGCTGAATTAATTAATTGTCTATATAAAAGCTTGTAAAGCTGTTGGATAGATAATTAAGCCCCGTTTGGGAATTGGCTAAAAACTATACTCCCCAAATGGGCCTTAATGGTGGTAGAGAGAACTTTGAAGAAAGTACACATGGCTTGCCATTTATATAGGTGAACTTTTTACTCACTAAAAATTAAAAGTGAAGGGGGTCAAAGTAAGATTTTAATGAAAATGTAAGGATAACATATGATTTTGATGAAAATATAAATGCGTTAACGAGATGAAAAAAAAATCACGTTTAACTCGCATGACAAGTTTCGTCAACCTTGTCAACAATAGTTGATCAAAATGGTAGTGTTGTAATTTGATTTGTTGAGAGTTGATCGTCATAATTAAAAATAAAAAGATTGAAGTGTGATTGTTATGAAAGTACAAGATATTAATTACAATTAACCCTGTCAAGTTACAATGTCAATCTAATGTGTGTGACACACGACATGTTTTCAGTTGGATTGAGAGAGCATCGAAGAAAGTGGTTCACATGGCTTGCCTTGTTGTGATTTATATAAGAGAAATTAGTTTTTCTATCATGAGTTTGTGTAGCATAAACATAAACATTAGCAATACCAAACGATTTGGAAGACCACGAGGATATTACTATTATTTTGGAATTAAAATTTGTCTAAAAAAAGTAAGGCCTGTTGGCATCAAGTTATTTTGTTTTTAAAAGTGAATTTATTAGTGAAATTTTTTTAAAAAATTCATTAAAATTTTTATTTATTTATTTTATTTTTCGGCACGATCTTTTAGTAGCGACTCATATGACGAAAGAAATTGATCTCTTAATAATTTTTGTAATATTCCTTTTAGAGACGAAAATGTTTAATTTTTTAAATCTTTAGTATGAAAACCATAAGCAAACAAATTGGGTAAAGAAGCAATGATTAAATCAGCTATCTACAAACAAATTTTATTTTTAAAGTATAGGTTTGTTTTTTTTTTTATCAATTGATAAGAGAGTAATTACAAATATGAGAAATATTACATTATCAAATAGACTACTACTCCATTATAGTTAGAAAGTCAATAAAATCTATCTAAGTCCATGCCAGAGCCTCACAATCACTATACGATTACCTACATACAACCCCTAAGATGGGGAAAAAATAAACACCACTTTAACAAATAAAGAACTTCTCTCTATAAAAATTAAATTCGAGACCTCACATCAACAGGTGTTACAAAATCATTAGGATAAATGCCCGAATAAATTTAACGTGTAACACATGGTCTACAAATTTGATTGACCCTTTGAACAAATATATGTACTAAAAAACCTTCCCTACAAATTTGATGTGAGTAAACAAGGTTTGGTTTTAAAAGGTAAGATTTTGACTAATCGTCGTATACATATTAGTTACTTTCTATACATATACACGCTATATGATAATAGTGGCTTTCTATCCATTTACACGTCGATTGGATCCCACAAAGATAGACCTAATTAAATTTGAAAAGAACAGCCAACGAATTTACAGGGTTTAAGTCTCTTACCAACTTGTCTGGTTTTATTTTACCAAAACGAAAACTACAAAACTCTTATCAACTTGTCTCGTTTTATTTTTTCAAGAGCAATATTCGAGGTACAAAATATTCATAAAATTTATCAAAAATATTATTTAAAAAAATTAATAATCTATAATATAGCCTACGTCTCACTAACTTTAAACCTACATCATATACATTCATTTTTGGAGTAAATTTTTATGATCTATAACATTTTTATGATATATGTGATAATTTATTATTTATGTAGAATTATTTTTAAATCGAAAAAGAATACTATTCTAAACTTTCTTTTTAAATTTTTTTTTCCATTAAGATACTTTTATTTTGTGAGAATTTGATTTTGATTTTTATTTATTTGAATTGTACATGTATCGCCACCCGCAACTATATATATATATATATATATATATCAGTTATGCTATAGACCAAACAAAATGATCGATAGAACAACAGAAAAACACAATTGGATGCCAACTCAACAAAGGGCCCACCTTTGTGCTCTACTCTGAGTATCCACATCAGACTTTGCTATATTAGTTTTGGGACTATGCGGGTGTTTGTTTCAGCTTTTCAGAGCTAATTTATGACTTTTAGTTTTGAAAAAGTTATTTTGGACTGTTTGGTTAAACTTATTTCAAACAGCTTTTGATTTTAACAGCTTATTTTAACTCAAAAAAGCTGATTCTGAAAAACTGCTCACCCCTTACTTCTGATTATCAGCTTCTGCTGTGGACATGTTAATTTATAGTTATACTCTTAAATTTTTTTATTTTTTATTTTTTTAAAATTAGAAAAAGACTCAAATGGACTATAGATTATTATTATTATTTTTTATGAAAAATGTAGACAAAAAAAAAAATTTAATTGAAAAAGCTATTTCACAACTTATTTAACAAACACTACTCAGCAACTTAAATCTATAATCCAACAGCTACACCAAACAGATTAACAACTTCTGATTAAAGTCATAATCTATAATCTGTTAAGCCATAATCTATAAGTTGTTTTAACAGCTACACCAAACAAGGCCTATATTAGCTGATCAAGATCCAAAAGAACCCTTGCGTTAGGCTAGCCATAACAAAAATAAATTTTGACATTGCTATAGTACATCACTTGATGTAGTGATGTACTGTTCATAAGTTATATATTATTTTATTATTTATTCTATAAAAAATTTCACTAAATGGTCGACCATCCAATAAATGAAGAAACTGGACAATTTTCTGTTTGATTGAGGGATATAAAGATTGAGATTGGATATTATATCCGGTGGGGTTCATATATCACATGTTTGTAATTTTTTTTTGAAGGGGATATAATATCCGGTGAGATTGTATATCCCCCAAAAGTGCAGGATATACAATACCACCCCCCATTATATCATATCCCCTTGGTTGAGATATGATGTAAAAAGTCCAATTTACCCTTTTGTCTATCTAACATAATATAATTTAATATATTTTTTTGAATTTAATATAATATAATTATTGAATTTAATTTAATATTATTGAATTTAATATAATATAAATATTATTGAATTTAATATAATATAAATATTATTGAATTTAATATAATATAAATATTATTGAATTTAATATAATATAAATATTATTGAATTTAATATAATATAAATATTATTGAATTTAATATAATATAAATATTATTGAATTTAATATAATATAAATATTATTGAATTTAATATAATATAAATATTATTGAATTTAATATAATATAATATAATATTATTTAATTTAATATAATTTAATACAAATTTTGAATTTAATTAAATATAATATTATTGAATTTAATTTAATATAAAATTTTGAATTTAATATAATATAATATTATTTAATTTAATTTAATGTAATATTATTGAATTGAATTTAATATAATATAATTTAATATAAATTTTGAATTTAATATAATATAATATTATTTAATTTAATTTAATATAATATAATATTATGAGGGCAATCTTAAAAATTACTTGTTATGTCCCACAATATATTTTGTAAAACAAACATGCATAACATATATCCAATCTTATATATCAAGTCAACAAACATGACTTGGAGGATATACTGTCTAATACCTATATCCTATTTATTATATATCCTGACTAAATCCTATATCATATTATATCCTCCATTTTATATCCAGTGAAACAAATGAGGCCTAAGTGATTGACCACCGGCTCATCCACCCGATCGACCACCCAATATATCTCAAAAATAGGCAATTTTCTCCAAGTGGTCAACCACTTGGTTGATCACCTAATAAAAATAAATATTTTATAAAATTAAATTTTAAAATGGAAAGACTGATAGAGTGTGTATATAAAAAAAATACTAATTAAAATAGAAGGACTTTTCTCATGTGTGCGGTGTGCAACCTTAAGGGGGTTGCACACTTAAGCATGACCCAAAATAGAAAAGTAGAATTTTAATTATAATTTGACTCAAATTTAATAAGTCTGATGCAAATGCTCTCACGTGATTATCTTTAGCAAGTTGTTATCATTGGAACCTGCGCACAAGTTCAGATTCTCTTTTTGGTAGTTGTATTTGTTTTCTAAAAAAATTTAAAAAATAATTTAATTAAGAAAATTATAAGAAAAAATATAAGATTTGAGTGTTATTAAGAAAATTATAAGAAAAAATATAAGATTTGAGTGTTATAATAAAATAAATTTTAAAATTTTAATTTTATTAATTTAAATCATAATTTTTAAATTTATTTTTAATTTACATTATTTATTTATTTTTGTTAAATAAAATTGAAGAAAACATAATATTTTAGTCATTATATTCAATGTAGTTGTACAAAAAATATTTAATATTTGTTTTTTTATTGAATTTAATGACTAAATTTTTTTTTATTAATTTTATTTAACAAAAGCAGGTGAATGGTTTAATTTGAAAACAAGTTAAAAGATTAAGTTTTAAATCGATAAAATTAAAAATTTAGAA